GCCGATTTCACTAGAAACAAGTACAAGAAATTTGAAAAAAAAAAAAAAAAAAACCAAACATTATAGATAATATTACATTAAATTATGCATACTTAAATCTTATTAATGCATGACAATCGTTAGTTATATCTGACGATATGTTTAAGAACACTTTAGGTTTAAAGCATAGACAATCATTGCTTATCGAATCTATACTCCGTAGATATCTACAATACTAGTCAGTCTTTACAATCTTTAAAATCATAATGCGTTTGCCTAGCGGTTATTCTAAAAATGTATATTGAGTAAAACATTACCAAAATGGTGGCCAACTTGAGTACTTTCCCATTATTTATAACGTATTGTTGCCTGGTTGCTGTCTTATGATGATTAGTACCCAACGTTTACGTTATCATGTGTTTCAGTGTGTTGTGCTATGGAAAGACACGCTACACCCAATCAAGTTATACATTTCTCAGTTAAATGTATGTTTTACACTGGGTTTCAGTCGTTAAGTCAAATTGCGTTTTCCAAGTTAACATTTAATAGCTTACAAGATTTTTTTTAAGTTTGAGCTTACCTAATTCTAACAGCTCTTGTAATGTCTGATGTTCGATAATTATATAAATTCCTATTTTCTGTGATCCGTTAATTATTATATAAATATCGTTTGTTATATCGGTGACATTTCTATCAGTAGTGTTGATGTATGGTTGAACAATCAACACTAGTTTTACTAGTACACAGCTTCTGAAAAAAATAATGCATTCGGGTTTGATAACTTTTACATGTAACAAGACCACTGATAGCTATTGGGTATTCCAAGGTTTTCCAAAATTATTTTTGTGATACTTTCAAGTTCAGATATTAGCCATGTTTTTTAAATCGTGCTGCGTCGTAGTTTTCGTACTGTAACAATTAACAATTTATAGAAAATTAATTTTCTGAGAATAACAAAAAGGAACTTCAAATTATGACAGACTTCCACGGCATTGCGTTTTAAACAAGAGGCTTCTAAAAGCCAAACACGCTCAACAGATAAAGATATGCCATTCTTATATTAATGTTTAGCTTTATTGCAATCCATAATTTCATTTTCGTAAATCCTGTATTGCCGATCTCTTAACAGTGCACAGTTTGTACCTTGTTTTGATATACAAAAACACAAACAAATATTAACAAATCGTCGTTTAAGGGCAATAACTCCTGATAAAGTCACCAACAGTTTTGGCCATTTTTGCATTTTTGTAGCTCTTGTATAGCTGATCATATTTTGCTATAAACAATTTCTACCTATCTATTACAGTTTTCAAGATAATTTGTAACATTTTAGAAATTAGCAACAACAAAAAAAGAATTACGGGCAGTCAATCTTATAAGGACTCACCAATGGTTTTGGTCATATTGCTTGTTTATATCATACATTGCTGATTATTGTTGCTGTTTATTGTTTTCATCTATATTTTATAGTTCTTGAGAAAACACGAACATTCTTAAAAAATCGTCATTCAAGAACCATTTTCCCTTAAGAAGTCATCTACTATTTTTGGTCACATTCATGTTTTGTAGATCCTAAACTTCTGAGCTTTTGTGCTGCAAAACACATGATCATAATTTCTTAAGGAGTCACCGAATAGTCGGTCTTGAATTGCTGATCATTTTTGCCATTAACAATTCCTTCCTATTTATTATTATTTTCAGAATAATTGAAACACAGGAAAATTTAACAAAAATTTTTAATGGCATGAACTCATTTAAAAGCCAGCTGATCCTTCGACAGAGTATTTTTTACCAATATAAGTATTGATATCCTATACAATATTATTTCTGGGTTCGAGATAAAATTTACTTTAAGTTAGTTAATTTTTAGTATGTAAAATGCATATATATATACTAAAAAATCCGTATCGCATAATAAAGACGTGTACATGTAGTATATTATGGCTGTTTCGGTCATTAAAATATGCAACGTATCAGAGAACGCGACAAAAACCGTATGTAGACTGGCTGAATGGGGATCTGTTCCCGTTAAAGTTTGTATAACCTCCCTTTTGCTGTCATATTCATGCTGATTAATGTGGAACAGAGGTTATTTATAAACAACATACCTGTTGTTGACCTGTTGTCGTATTCTTTGCTTACCCGTTGTAGTTCTCAAGCTGTAAAAATAATTTTATATTATCAATCGGCTAACCTTGGGTGACTCCGCTTCTCTCCATAGATGGCGGTACGGAATCGGCAGAGTTGTGATGAATGATTATATTATACTGAGTGCCATGAAAACGCAACACTAAGTTTTTTAGAAATAAAATTTTTATACAAAATAATATTTTCTATATAGTAATTGTTAATGACAGTTAAAGGGTTTATCTAAAGATAAAAGTCAAACAAAAATGTTCAACTGCCACGATTCGAATGCAATACGGTTATGCATCACAACGCTACAGTTCACTAACTCACAGTCTCTATAACGAATGTGTCCACCGCGTGCTGCAACGCAAGCTCTACAACGACGTGGCATTGACCTGACCAGACGTCGGATACGGTGTTGTGGAATGTTTGTCCATTTTTTCCGCAATGCAATTTCGAGTTGGCGCAGCGTAACTGGTGGTGGCTGTCGTCGTCTTACGGCTTGTCCAATTTGATCCCATAAGTGTTCAATTGGACTCAAATCCGGCGAAAAGGCTGGCCATGGTAATGTCTGAACATGGTTGTTGTTGATAAACGCAGTTGTGAGTCGTGCGGAGTGTGCACGAGCGTTATCTTGCTGAAAAAGATTAACATCTTGATGCCTAGCCATAAACGGTATAACGGTCGGCCGTAAAACTTCGTCAATGTAGCGTTGAGCGTTTAAATTGCCATTGATAGTGATGAGCGGAGTTTTATGGTTGAATGATATTCCTCCCCATACCATGACACTACCACCACCTCAACGATCTGTCTCTTGGATACACGAATCTGCATAGCGTTCTCCTCTTCGTCTCCACACACGAGTTCGTCCATCACTACGACGAAGATGGAATCTTGATTCGTCCGTCCATAAGACAGTTGTCCATTGCCTGTGTGACCATCTCTGACGCTGTTGTGTCCATCTAAAGCGATTTTGGCGTCGTACTGCTGTCAGAATGTTACCACGGAAAGGCCTCCGTGCCCTTAATCCACTGCTGCGCAAACGGCGTCTTACCGTGTTTGCTCCAATTTGTCTCCTATGGACGCCGACAGTCTCCCGTGCCGTTTGGACAGCCGCACGGAACCGATCTCGCAGATGCTGAAGACGAATGTATCGGTCCTGTTGGGCAGTAGTTGCTCTCTGTCTTCCGGGACGTGGTCTATCATTCAAAGACCCAGTTTGATTGAATCTTTGGATAAGTCTGGTAATTGTTGAGGCTGAACACTGAATTCTGCGTGCAATTTCACGACTTGAAATGCCTCCTTGCACCATGCCCCAAACTTCATGTCTCTGGTTGTCTGAAAGTCTTGGCATCTACGCCTTAGTTTATTGCAGTGGCTTACAAAAAAGGATGGGAAAGTTAAATTCTTAAGCGAGGCTTTCCAAAACACACAATGAAAAAATCACTCGTGCGAAAAATAGCGGTGCACTCGACTCACCCCCTTTTTCTGTAACGTAAGCACGTAACTTTTTTTTTCTAAAATCATTCAAGCGTAAAGTTGTCGAAAGAAGTCTGACGATTCATTTTCAAACCGATATAGGTAATCATTTAAAAAAAATATTTATATATTTTAAAATATTTGAAATTTACAAGTGTTGCGTTTTCATTGGCACTCAGTATATCTGCGTGTAAGTAAATAAATCAAGATGATTGTTCATATAACATCATTTGAACAATATAATCAAGATAACTGGATTTTCTCTGTAATTATTTAAACGTTAACACATTAACTATTTCATTCATTCAATCATTCATGTGGTATTAGTTTTTGTACGTATAGGATACGTTCATTTATAAAAGAACCCCAATTACATTGAGGAAATGCATACCAAATATATACGCTACCGACGTTTTCAATTTAAAAAAAAAAAATTTTAACAATTTTTTTATGCAATTATGACAACTTGCTATGTTTAAAGTTTGTTAATTGTACAATTGTAGCCAATTCATTATACGGTTACTGTGAATCATTGACCTAAATCGCCCATTGTTTACAGGCATTACAATATTATTTTTCTCAAAAACAAGTATTCCTAGAATACTTTTAGAATTTTGTCTTCTGTACATCAAACCTTTTATCTAATTGCCTTGCTACTAAAATGACACAGAATATTACAAAGTCAGAGATTTGAATGTTATTAAAATGACATTTTTTATTGTTTAATGACTTCCATACTACTGATTTTGGTGTCTGTTTAAAATTACTAGAACAGTGATTTAAATTTCTGGCCAGCTCTTTGGTGAACTAAGAAAGTAAATACAAAAAATTGAAAGACAATAAAACGTTTAAATATCTTTCATGTGTCTTTGTTGCAGTTGCTTCTAGATGTTCATAAATCAAAATTCATTTCAAATGTGCCATATTGAGAAAAGATTACACGAAATTCAGTAAACAGTTCCTTAAAATTGAATAGTGTATGATCGACCAACATAAATTATCTCCATTTTATCTAGGTGTGGGAGGCATTTGTTCAACATGCCTTACTACCCATTTTTCTATGTCAATGCCTAAACATGTTAATCCAACAATACATTTATTGGATATAAAAAAAGAAGATGTGGTATGATTGCCAATGAGACAACTCTCCACAAGAGACCAAATGACACAGAAATTAACAACTATAGGTCACCATACGGCCTTCAACAATGAACAAAGCCAATACCGCATAGTTAGCTATAAAAAGCCCCAAAATGACAAATGTAAAACAATTCAAACGAGAAAACTAACGCCCTTATTTATGTACAAAATAATGAACGAGAAACAAATATGGTACAAAGCAACAAACGACAACCACTGAATTACAGGCTCCTGACTTAGTACAGTCACATACAGAATGTTTTTAAAAATGTTTACCTCAAGTTCATGTTCTTTACTGCTATAAATCCAGTTAGATTTTCAAACGCTCTGTTAAGCTAAAAAAAAAATCAAAATTAAAGAAAACAAATAATTTAGTAAATTGTATTTACCAAATTACTAAACCTCTAGATTTTTGAAATTTTAGTATTAAACGATTATTTAAAATTAGTCTCTAGTTTTAAAAGTCGTCTATGCATATACATGTGTAGTATAACAACTTTGATTTAGCTTTCAACAATTTTGGCAGTTAGCATTGCTGAAATGTTTGTATTAAATTGGTTCACCTATGATTCCTCCACGTCATTTGGTCTCTCGTGTATTGTTGTCTCCAAGGCAATCAAACAACATCTTCTTATCGAAAAATAAAAAGATTTGGTATGATTGCCAATCAGACAACTCTTTACCAGAGACAAAAATGACATAGAAGTTAACAGCTATAGGTCACCGTACGGCCTTCAACAATGAGCAAAACTCATATCGCAGAGTAAGCTATAAAAGGCCTCGAAATGAAAAATGTAAGACAATTCAAACAAAACATATATGATATACAGCAACAAACGACACCCACTGAATTACAGGGTGCTGACTTTGGACAGGCACATACAGAATGTGGCGGGGTTAAACATGTTTACTGACGCCTTATCTTTATATTTTTATCGATTAGAAAATAATAATACAATGGCAAATCAAAGTTATAACCCTCCGTTGTGTCTTTTTTCACCTTTTCCGTTCATTCTTTCGTTTAAATCTTGGATTTACATCTAATCATTATGCAGTGAGTGCATTTCATGAAAATTCCAAAAACTAGACACATTAACCCTTATTTTACCTGTTTGATTCCAATGATTTTTTGTTTCGAACCTATAAACCCAAAATGAACTTTCAAATTGTGTTACATACTTATGCATTCCGGTATGTGGAATTGTTTGTTCTAGGTATAACGGATTGCCAAGGTGCTGTCTTATAGCTCAAGATCTCATATATATGAATATGTTGTTTTTTTTTAGTTTTTTTTTATTTTTGCTATCAAATAAAGGAATTATTGGCACTTCAGATTCGTTCACAGATTGTCTAGTCCACTAAAGCAATGACAGTACATTGTACAATCATTCACCAACAGGCTGCTAAGTTTTACAATTGACTGCACAGGTAGAAATCTATGAATGGAAACATCAAATATCTTACGGAAATGCAGTACTTACATTTTCTACTGGTTCCCGAGAGGAAATTACGTAATACATAAAAGAATGCACATCACTGCGGATTCGACCTAGATGATAGACGGGAAATCTGAAGTCAATGACTTAAAAAAGGTTTGTTATGTAGTTCTGTCAAATACTCTGAACAGATCCCCTACGGAATATTACCAGTTTTAACAAAGGTATTTTGAGGTATAGAAATCAAAGCAATATCCATTACAGGGCATCGGAATTTGAACGACTTTGAATTCCATGCAGCCTTAAACACGATCTTTCAGCACTGCAATTATTTTCGCTGCTCAACGAACCAAAAGACTCTTATAAGAAATTAGATTAGAATTAATTGAATGCAACTGAGTTTTGTAATAAAACTTACATCTTTGAGTATCTTCTTTCTGAAATTTCCAGATTCATTTGTCCTGATTTTTACATGGGGTCCACTCAAACAAAATATCAACTGCACTGAAACGTTAACTCCTTAAAGGAATTAAGGAGATAACAAGAAGTTCAAATCGAACATATAAATAATATGAAAATGGGAATATTCGAATAACTCGTAGTAGTCGGTATATTTCAAGGACAATTTAAATGAATGAACAAATACGCAGAACAACTATTAGATTTTAAGTAAACAAAAAATAAATACGTATAAGTCACTCTACTTAATGTTACTTCACTGTTAAAATCTCATATAAAATAGTTCTGCTATGATAAATCTATTTTCAACCACCCATTGGTGCACATATATAAAGGTGTCATACTGCTGTATTTTGAAAAACAAAAGGCAAACTGTGACAGCTTAAACCAGTGAAGTATATACAATATTATTTTCATTTTCCCCAACATAAATTTTTCTGACATAATTTATAAATGGTCATATTTGCTTGTTGAAATGAAATGTGAAGCCAAATAAAAGATGAGAGTGGGAAAAGAAAAACAAAAAGACAAATTATAAAATAAGCTGTTCAAAATCCGCATTTTGTAACTTAAAGGTGTTTTCTCTTTTCAAAATTTTGTTTAGGATTCCAAAATAAATACAACATGCATTAAATTACAATATGAGCAAACCTGTATTTACTGGCACTTTCCCAGGGACCATTGTTGACGTGTGTAAACTGGTTGTAGAAGTAGAAGTTGTTCTCGGTTTAGTAGCGGCTGTAGGTGGGAAAACCGTTGTAGGTGTAATAGTGGTTGTTGGAGAAGTAGTTGTTGTAGGAGAGGTAGTTGTTGTTGGAGAAGTAGAAGTTGTGGGAGAAGTAGTTGTTGTTGGAGAAGAAGAAGTTGTGGGAGAAGTAGTTGTTGTTGGAGAAGTAGTTGTTGTTGGAGAAGTAAAAGTTGTGGGAGAAGTAGTTGTTGTTGGAGAAGTAGAAGTTGTGGGAGAAGTAGTTGTTGTTGGAGAAGTAGAAGTTGTGGAAGAAGTATTTGTTGTAGGAGAAGTAATAGTTGTAGGAGAAGTTGTTGTTGTAGTAGTGGTTGTAAGCGTAGCATTGGTTGTAGATGCAGTAGTGATTATAGGCGTTGTAGGCGTAACCTCGGTTGTAGTTGCAATTGGGGTTGATGGCGTAGATTTGGATGTAAATAAAATAGTGGTCGTAGCCGTATCATCGTTTGTAGGTGAATTAGTGACTGTTAGCATTGCATCTGTTGTAGATTCGGTAGTGATTGCATTTGTAGAATCGGTTGTAGGCAAGTCAGTGGTTGTAGGCTTAGCATCGGTAATAGATTCGGTAGTGAGTGTATGCGTAGCATTGGTTGTAGATGCAGTAGTGGTTGTAGGTGTATCCTCGGTATTTGATGAAATAGCGATGGTGGGCGTAACAGCGTTTGTAAATGCAGTAGTGGTTGTAGGTAAAGCATTGGTTGTAGGTGCACCTGTAGTAGTAGGCGTTAGATCGTTTGTAGGTGAAGTAGTGATCGTAGACGTAGCATCCGTTGTAAATTCGATAGTGATTGTAGGCAGAGCACCGGTTGTAGATGCAATAGTGATTGTAGGCGTACCATCGGTTGTAGGTGAAGTGGTGATTGTAGGCTTAGTATTGGTAATAGATGCAGTAGTGGTTGTAAGGGTAGCATCAGTTGTAGATGTTGTAGTGATTTTAGGTGTATCATCGGTTGAAGATGAAGTAGTCGTTGAGGGTGTAGCATTGGTTGTATATGAAGAAGTTCTTAAAGTCGAAGCATCAGTTGTAGATGCAATGGCGGTTGTAGGCGTAATGTCGGTTGTAGTTGCAATTGGGGTTGATAGCGTAGGTTTGGACGTAAATAAAATAGTGGTTGTAGCCGTATCTACGTTTGTAGGTGCATTAGTGGCTGTTAGAATTGCATCTGTTGTAGATTCGGTAGTGATTGCATTTGTAGAATCGGTTGAAGGCAAGTGAGTGGTTGTAGGCTTAGCATCGGTAACAAATTCGGTAGTGAGTGTATGCGTAGCATTGGTTGTAGATGCAGTAGTGGTTGTAAGCGTAGCATCGGCTGTAGATGCAGTACTGATTGTAGGCGTAACATCGATTGTCGGTGAAGTAGTGATTGTAGGCTTAGTATCGGTAGTAGACGCAGTAGTAATTGAAGGCATAGCATCGGTTGTAGATTCGGTAGTGAGTGTATGCGTAGCATTGGTTGTAGATGCAGTAGTGGTTGTATGCGTAGCATCGGCTGTAGATGCAGTAGTGATTGTAGGCGTAACATCGGTTGTAGGTGAAGTAGTGATTGTAGGCTTAGTATCGGTAGTAGATGCAGTAGTAATTGTAGGCATAGCATCCGTTGTAAATTTGGTGTCGATTGTGTGCGTAGCATTCGTTGCAGATTCAGTTGTTATTGTAGACGAATCAGTAGTTGTAGGCATACCATCGGATGTAGATTCAGTAGTAATTGTAGACGTTACATTGGTTGTAGATGAAGTAGTTGTTGTAGGCGGAGCACCGGTTGTGGATGAAGTAGTTGTTGTAGGCGTTGCCCCGATTTTAGATGCACTGGTGGTTGTAGGTGTATCCTCGATATTTGATGAAGTAGCGATGGTGGGCGTAACAGCGTTTGTAAATGCAGTAGTGATTGTAGGTAAAGTATTGGTTGTAGGTGCACTGGTAGTTGTAGGCGTTAGATCGTTTGTAGGTGAAGTAGTGATCGTAGACGTAGCATCCGTTGTAAATTCGATAGTGATTGTAGGCAGAACACCGGTTGTAGATGCAGTAGTGGTTGTAAGCGTAGCATCGGTTGTAGATGCAGTAGAGATTGTTGGCGTAACATCGGTTGTAGGTGAAGTAGTGATTGTAGGCATAGTATCGGTAGTAGATGCAGTAGTAATTGAAGACATAGCATCGGTTGTAGATTCGGTAGCGGTTGTATGCGTAGCATTCGTTGTAAATTCAGTTGTGATTGTAGACGAATCAGTGGTTGTAGGCTTAGCATCGGTTTTAGATTTGGTAGTGATTGTAATCGTAGCATCGGTTGTAGATGCAATATTGGTTATCGGTAAAGCAGTGATTGTAGAGGTAGCGTCGATTGTAGCTGAAGATGTTGTTATGGGCATACCATCGGATGTAGATTCAGTAGTAATTGTAGACGTTACATTGGTTGTAGATGAAGTAGTTGTTGTAGGCGGAGCACCGGTTGTAGATGCAATAGTGGTAGAAAGCGTAGCATCGGTTGTAGATGCAGTAGTGATTGTAGGCGTAACATCGGTTGTAGGTGAAGTAGTGATTGTAGGCTTAGTATTGGTAGTAGATGCAGTAGTGGTTGTAAGGGTAGCATCGGTTGTAGATGTTGTAGTGATTTTAGGTGTATCATCGGTTGAAGATGAAGTAGTCGTTAAGGGTGTAGCATTGGTTGTATATGAAGAAGTTCTTAAAGACGAAGCATCAGTTGTAGATGCGATGGCGGTTGTATGCGTAACCTCGGTTGTAGTTGCAATTGGGGTTGATGGCGTAGATTTGGATGTAAATAAAATAGTGGTTGTAGCCGTATCACCGTTTGTAGGTGCATTAGTGACTGTTAGAATTGCATCTGTTGTAGATTCGGTAGTGATTGCATTTGTAGAATCGGTTGAAGGCAAGTGAGTGGTTGTAGGCTTAGCATTGGTAACATATTCGGTAGTGAGTGTATGCGTAGCATTGGTTGTAGATGCAGTAGTGGTTGTAAGCGTAGCATCGGCTGTAGATGCAGTAGTGATTGTAGGCGTAACATCGGTTGTAGGTGAAGTAGTGATTGTAGACTTAGTATCGGTAGTAGATGCAGTAGTAATTGTAGGCATAGCATCAGTTGTAGATTCGGTGTCGATTGTTTGCGTAGCATTCGTTGTAGAATCAGTTGTTATTGTAGACGAATCAGTAGTTGTAGGCATACTATCGGATGTAGATTCAGTAGTAATTGTAGACGTTACATTGGTTGAAGGTGAAGTAGTTGTTGTAAGCGGAGCAACGGTTGTGGATGAAGTAGTTGTTGTAGGCGTTGCCCAGATTTTAGATGCACTAGTGGTTGTAGGTGTATCCTCGATATTTGATGAAGTAGCGATTGTGGGCGTAACAGCGTTTGTTAATGAAGTAGTGATTGTAGGTAAAGTATTGGTTGTAGGTGCACTGGTAGTTGTAGGCGTTAGATCGTTGGTAGGAGAAGTAGTGATCGTAGACGTAGCATCCGTTGTAAATTCGATAGTGATTGTAGGCAGAACATCGGTTGTAGATGCAGTAGTGGTTGTAAGCATAGCATCGGTTGTAGATGCAGTAGAGATTGTTGGCGTAACATCGGTTGTAGGTGAAGTAGTGATTGTAGGCATAGTATCGGTAGTAGATGCAGTAGTAATTGAAGACAGAGCATCGGTTGTCGATTCGGTAGCGGTTGTATGCGTAGCATTCGTTGTATATTCAGTTGTGATTGTAGACGAATCAGTGGTTGTAGGCTTAGCATCGGTTTTAGATTTGGTAGTGATTGTATTCGTAGCATCGGTTGTAGATGCAATATTGGTTATCGGTAAAGCAGTGATTGTAGAGATAGCGTCGATTGTAGCTGAAGATGTTGTTATGGGCATACCATCGGATGTAGATTCAGTAGTAATTGTAGACGTTACATTGGTTGTAGATGAAGTAGTTGTTGTAGGCGGAGCACCGGTTGTGGATGAAGTAGTGGTTGTAGGCGTCGCCCCGATTTTAGATGCACTAGTGGTTGTAGGTGTATCCTCGGTATTTGATGAAGTAGCGATGGTGGGCGTAACAGCGTTTGTAAATGCAGCAGTGGTTGTAGGTAAAGCATTGTTTGTAGGTGCACTTGTATTAGTAGGCGTTAGATCATTTGTAGGTGAAGTAGTAATCGTAGACGTGGCATCCGTTGTAAATTCGATAGTGATTGTAGGCAGAGCACCGGTTGTAGATGCAATAGTGGTTGAAAGCGTAGCATCGGTTGTAGATGCAGTAGTGATTGTAGGCGTAACATCGGTTGTAGGTGAAGTAGTGATTGTAGGCTTAGTATTGGTAGTAGATGCAGTAGTGGTTGTAAGGGTAGCATCGGTTGTAGATGTTGTAGTGATTTTAGGTGTATCATCGGTTGAAGATGAAGTAGTCGTTGAGGGTGTAGCATTGGTTGTATATGAAGAAGTTCTTAAAGACGAAGCATCAGTTGTAGATGCAATGGCGGTTGTATGCGTAACCTCGGTTGTAGTTGCAATTGGGGTTGATGGCGTAGATTTGGATGTAAATAAAGTAGTGGTTGTAGCCGTATCATCGTTTGTAGGTGCATTGGTGACTGTTAAAATTTCATCTGTTGTAGATTCGGTAGTGATTGCATTTGTAGAATCGATTGAAGGCAAGTGAGTGGTTGTAGGCTTAGCATCGGTAACAAATTCGGTAGTGAGTGTATGCGTAGCATTGGTTGTAGATGCAGTAGTGGTTGTAAGCGTAGCATCGGCTGTAGATACAGTACTGATTGTAGGCGTAACATCGATTGTCGGTGAAGTAGTGATTGTAGGCTTAGTATCGGTAGTAGACGCAGTAGTAATTGAAGGCATAGCATCGGATGTAGATTCGGTAGTGAGTGTATGCGTAGCATTGGTTGTAGATGCAGTAGTGGTTGTACGCGTAGCATCGGCTGTAGATGCAGTAGTGATTGTAGGCGTAACATCGGTTGTAGGTGAAGTAGTGAGTGTAGGCTTAGTATCGGTAGTAGATGCAGTAGTAATTGTAGGCATAGCATCAGTTGTAGATTCGGTGTCGATTGTTTGCGTAGCATTCGTTGTAGAATCAGTTGTTATTGTAGACGAATCAGTAGTTGTAGGCATACTATCGGATGTAGATTCAGTAGTAATTGTAGACGTTACATTGGTTGAAGGTGAAGTAGTTGTTGTAAGCGGAGCAACGGTTGTGGATGAAGTAGTTGTTGTAGGCGTTGCCCAGATTTTAGATGCACTAGTGGTTGTAGGTGTATCCTCGATATTTGATGAAGTAGCGATGGTGGGCGTAACAGCGTTTGTTAATGAAGTAGTGATTGTAGGTAAAGTATTGGTTGTAGGTGCACTGGTAGTTGTAGGCGTTAGATCGTTGGTAGGTGAAGTAGTGATCGTAGACGTAGCATCCGTTGTAAATTCGATAGTGATTGTAGGCAGAACATCGGTTGTAGATGCAGTAGTGGTTGTAAGCGTAGCATCGGTTGTAGATGCAGTAGAGATTGTTGGCGTAACATCGGTTGTAGGTGAAGTAGTGATTGTAGGCATAGTATCGGTAGTAGATGCAGTAGTAATTGAAGACAGAGCATCGGTTGTCGATTCGGTAGCGGTTGTATGCGTAGCATTCGTTGTATATTCAGTTGTGATTGTAGACGAATCAGTGGTTGTAGGCTTAGCATCGGTTTTAGATTTGGTAGTGATTGTATTCGTAGCATCGGTTGTAGATGCAATATTGGTTATCGGTAAAGCAGTGATTGTAGAGATAGCGTCGATTGTAGCTGAAGATGTTGTTATGGGCATACCATCGGATGTAGATTCAGTAGTAATTGTAGACGTTACATTGGTTGTAGATGAAGTAGTTGTTGTAGGCGGAGCACCGGTTGTGGATGAAGTAGTGGTTGTAGGCGTCGCCCCGATTTTAGATGCACTAGTGGTTGTAGGTGTATCCTCGGTATTTGATGAAGTAGCGATGGTGGGCGTAACAGCGTTTGTAAATGCAGCAGTGGTTGTAGGTAAAGCATTGTTTGTAGGTGCACTTGTATTAGTAGGCGTTAGATCATTTGTAGGTGAAGTAGTAATCGTAGACGTAGCATCCGTTGTAAATTCGATAGTGATTGTAGGCAGAGCACCGGTTGTAGATGCAATAGTGGTTGAAAGCGTAGCATCGGTTGTAGATGCAGTAGTGATTGTAGGCGTAACATCGGTTGTAGGTGAAGTAGTGATTGTAGGCTTAGTATTGGTAGTAGATGCAGTAGTGGTTGTAAGGGTAGCATCGGTTGTAGATGTTGTAGTGATTTTAGGTGTATCATCGGTTGAAGATGAAGTAGTCGTTGAGGGTGTAGCATTGGTTGTATATGAAGAAGTTCTTAAAGACGAAGCATCAGTTGTAGATGCAATGGCGGTTGTATGCGTAACCTCGGTTGTAGTTGCAATTGGGGTTGATGGCGTAGATTTGGATGTAAATAAAGTAGTGGTTGTAGCCGTATCATCGTTTGTAGGTGCATTGGTGACTGTTAAAATTTCATCTGTTGTAGATTCGGTAGTGATTGCATTTGTAGAATCAATTGAAGGCAAGTGAGTGGTTGTAGGCTTAGCATCGGTAACAAATTCGGTAGTGAGTGTATGCGTAGCATTGGTTGTAGATGCAGTAGTGGTTGTAAGCGTAGCATCGGCTGTAGATACAGTACTGATTGTAGGCGTAACATCGATTGTCGGTGAAGTAGTGATTGTAGGCTTAGTATCGGTAGTAGACGCAGTAGTAATTGAAGGCATAGCATCGGATGTAGATTCGGTAGTGAGTGTATGCGTAGCATTGGTTGTAGATGCAGTAGTGGTTGTACGCGTAGCATCGGCTGTAGATGCAGTAGTGATTGTAGGCGTAACATCGGTTGTAGGTGAAGTAGTGATTGTAGGCTTAGTATCGGTAGTAGATGCAGTAGTAATTGTAGGCGTAGCATCAGTTGTAGATTCGGTGTCGATTGTGTGCGTAGCATTGGTTGTAGATTCAGTTGTGAGTGTAGACGAATCAGTAGTTTTAGGCATACCATCGGATGTAGATTCAGTAGTAATTGTAGACGTTACATTGGTTGTAGATGAAGTAGCTATTGTAGGCGGAGCACCGGTTGTGGATGAAGTAGTGGTTGTAGACGTAGCCCCGATTTTAGATGCACTAGTGGTTGTACCCATGGTGGGCGTAACAGCATTTGTAAATGCAGTAGTGATTGTAGGTAAAGCATTGGTTGTAGGTGCACTGGTAGTAGTAAGCGTTAGATCGTTTGTAGGTGAAGTAGTGATCGTAGACGTAGCATCAGTTGTAAGTTCGATAGTGATTGTAGGCAGAGCACCGGTTGTAGATGCAATAGTGGTTGTAAGCGTAGCATTAGTTGTAGATGCAGTAGTGATTGTAGGCGTAACATCGGTTGTAGGTGAAGTAGTGATTGTAGGCTTAGTATTGGTAGTAGATGCAGGAGTGGTTGTAAGGGTAGCATCGGTTGTAGATGTTGTAGTAATGTTAGGTGTATCAGTGTTTGAAGATGAAGTAGTCGTTGTAGGTGTAGCATTGGTTGTATATGAAGAAGTTCTTGAAGACGAAGCATCAGTTGTAGATGCAATAGCGGTTGTAGACGTAGCCTCGGTTGTAGTTGCAATTGGAGTTGGTGGCGTAGATTTGGATGTAAACGAAATAGTGGTTGTAGGCTTTGCATCGGTTACAGATTCGATAGTGGGTGTATACGTAGCATTGGTTGTAGATGCAATAATGCTTATAAGTGTAGCATCGGTTGTTGCAGAAGTGATTGTAGTTTTAGCATCAGTTTTAGATTCAGCTGTGATTGTAGTTATACCATCAGTTGTAGATTCGGTAGTGATTGTATTCGCTGCATCGGTTGTTGATGTAGTATTGGTTGTAGGCAAAGCAGTGATTGTAGTGGTAGTGTCGAATGTAGATGAAAATGTTCTAATTGGCATACCATCGGTTGTAGATTCAGTAGTAATTGTAGGCGGATCATCAGTTGTGGATGAAGTATTTGTTGTAGGCGTAACCCCTATTTTAGATGCAGTAATGGTTTTAGGCGTAGCATCGGTTGTGGATGCAGTAGTGGTTGTAGGCATATCCTCGGTATTAGATGAAGAAAAAATTGTAGGCTTAACATCGGTTGTAGATGCACTGGTGGTAGTAGGCGTTATATCGTTTGTAGGTGAAGCAGTGATTGTAGACGTAGCATCCATTGTAAATTCGGTAGTGATTGTAGGAGAAGCATCGGCTGCAGATTCAGTTGTTATTGAAGGGGTATCATCGGTTATAGATGCAATAGTGGTTGAAAGCGTAGCATCGGTTGTAGATGCAGTAGTGATTGTAGGCGTAACATCGGTTGTAGGTGAAGTAGTGATTGTAGGTGCAGTATCGGTAGTCGATGCAGTAGTGATTGTAAGCGAAGCATCAGTTGTTAATTTGGTAGTGATTGTAGGCGTAGCATCGGTCGTAGGCAAAGTTGTGGTTGTAGGCGTAGGCGTAGCATCGGTTGTTGATTTTGTAGTGATTGCATGCGTAGCATCGGTTGTATCATCTGCAGTAATGGGTGAAGGTGAGGTAGTTTGCACATTTGTAGTAATGGTAGATGTGGCTGTAAGCGTAGTCGTTGTAATTTCATCCATTTGGTTTATTTCAGAATTCGTTTTATCTTTGACGTTAACGATCTCATCCTCTATAGTTTGCAGTGTTACTCCAAGAATTATTGCTTTCTTTTGTTTAGATTGGGATCGTGTTGTCTTAGTCAATGTTCCTCTCTGTACCCGTGCTTGTTGTTTGGTCATATAATCAAATTTAGTTTGAAGTTTAGAATTTGGGAAATTATGCAATGCATTAGTTGACCCTCCATCTACTTTAAAATTATTGCTTTTCGATTGCGTAATATTGAATAAGATTGAGGATAGGTTAATATCAGACGTGTTGTCCGCTGTAGGTGTTGACTTTAGTTCTGTCAAACTATGTCTTGTAGTTTCATTTAAATTCACCTCTGTGCTAACTAAGAAAGAAAACATATATGCTGACATGTTCATAAATATTGAAATATACCGATCACAGCTTTGGTGAACCTAAAATTTCACGTTTAAGCATTCTGACTTATTATTTCATCACTTGTATCGATGCCGATATTTTTGCATAAATATCTCTCTTTCATTTTTCATTGAAGAAAAACACCCCAAATGTTTGATCTACAGTTTATAGCTAAACCAACTTTTCAGTTTCAGTTTATATCTTTCTTTTTGTATGGCAATAGTTTTACTTGTATGTTGGTCATGTACTTCGTTTTTATTCAGACGTTTAACTAAACACTAACTTTGTTGTTGTTTCAATTAGACGCAAAAGCATCAACGGAAGCATGTTCGGCATGGAGTATAAACTTCCGAATCATGTTATTTATTGGTTGGTAGTTTATTTCAAAATAAAAACAATAACATATTCAATTCATTTTGAAAACAAAATTCGTTTAACAGTTTAATAAAGGTTTAGATAAAGCCTGAAATAAACGATTAATCTCAGGGCTTATTGTCAATATAAAATATGCCTTAATACATAAACATTTTTCTTGTACAATTTCATTGTACTTACCTCTTGTGGCTTTGACGATACTTAGATATAAAGCGAAACACACTGTCAATAACATTTCTGAAAAAAATACATAAATTGAGTTCGCGCTGTCCGTTAAAACCCATTGAATTTAAGGTACTTTTGAATATTTGTTTTAAAATTTAGATATACAAAAAAAGTCATGTAATGGATAAATCCCTTTATTCAAGACTATCTACTAATTGTGTTTTTATTCATTTAAGTTATTTCTGTTCTATTCTTAAATGATTAAAGATAGAAAGAAAAAAAAAAACAATAACAAAAAAAAAACAAAAAAACAAAAAACACACACAAACATGTTATTCATATGATAAAGACATAATCTTTCAATCAGTTTAATTGAGGCCTGGAGCTGGTATGTCAGTAACTGCTAGTAGTCTGTTGTTATTTATGTATTATTGTCATTTTGTTTATTTTCTTTTGTTTCCTATTCTGACATCGGGCTCGGACTTCTCTTATACTGAGTTTTACTGTGCGTACTGTTGTGAGTTTGTTTTTTCTACATTGGCTAGAGGTATAGGGGGAGGGTTGAGATCTCAAAAAACATGTTTAACCCCGCCGCATTTTTGCGCCTGTCCCAAGTCAGGAGCCTCTGGCCTTTGTTAGTCTTGTATCATTTTTAATTTTAGTTTCCTGTGTATACTTTGGAGTTTAGTATGACGTCCATTATCACTGAACTAGTATACATATTTGTTTAGGGGCCAGCTGAAGGACGCCTCCGGGTGCGGGAGTTTCTCGCTGCATTGAAGACCCATTGGTGGCCTTCGGCTGTTGTCTGCTCTATGGTCGGGTTGTTGTCTCTTTGACACATTCCCCATTTCCATTCTAAATTTTATGACTGTTTTTTATTTCTCTATTTGACTTTTTTAATGTTTCTGTTAGTTCTTTTTTTTTAACAAAGAACACATTGTGAGAAGATTTTGGTTGTTTAATACGAGGGGCCTTTTATAATTTTTTATGCAGTATGTGTTTTGCTCCTTGTTGAAGGCAGTATAGTGACCTGTAGTGACAGACACTGTTTCCCTCCTCGTTCTGATATCGACTTCCATCATAACTGTTCATTCAATATAAATATTTAACCTTGTTTCCTTGTTTGCTATAATTCGAGAAACATCGGCATCGGCCAATTCGGGTTGTATGTGGAGTAGTGTAGTAAATCTGAAAGCGGAGTTGTAGAAGTACTATTTCTGCTAAATATGTTTTCCAATATTCGAATTGTAAGATTTTTTTTTCTCCCTCGAAGGGAGACATATCATTTTGTCCTATTTTTATTCTATTATCTTTATTTTCATTTAATCTAGAAATGCCACTCTGTCAATTTAATGTAATTCTGAAAAGGGACATTACCTGCAAAAAACCGTTAAAATGTGTGACTAAATTATTCTAATTCACATTTTCCCAGTTATTGTTTAGATGCTATCGAATTGAGTTTGATAAAATTTACCAAATTCGTGCACTATTCAATCAGTGTTAAATCTACGTTTCGGTGAACGGTCGGTAGTTTTTTTTTCTTGGTATCACGGCTTCCTCTACCACGATTTTTCTAAGATATTGTGGCTTTAAGCTTTCATAAGTAAAAGTTAATTTTATTATCTTTGTGTCAGGAGGAGATTTTGAAAACGGAATATTTATTTTCACCTGTTGCAATGCTCGCTTATTTTTGGTTAATCATATTTTGATTTCATTCGTTATAGTTTACCGAATACTTAGTATTCAGTATTCTTTCCGCTTTCTACAAAGGAAGGAATATAGTTAAAGGCGGGGAGGTCTATCCGTCCGTTCTTTTGTTTGTTCATCCGTCCGTTCTTTTGTTCATTGTTCCGTCTGCCCATTTTTATATCTTATCCATGAACTGCATGATATATTTTGTGAAACTTTCACAGAACCTTACTCACGTGATGTAATGGTCATGGGACTTCGTTATATATTTACATTATAGTATACACTTATATCTATATCCAGCGCTAGGGATATAAAGCCTAGCGCTAGAGATATAAAGTTCCCCAATTGTTACGCCATATAGGAGACACCAATTAAGAAAAAAACCACGGAGGGAAAAAAGGAAATGCAAAAAACTAGATAGAAGAATTTCAGAGTGTCGAGTTATTGTAGAAAACGCCACCAGACGTTTAAAAACATTTAGAATTATCGGAACTTTGTGGAGACATCAAAGATACGAATTAAATCAAATTGTTAAATTGCGTGCTGGACGTACTGAGTTATTTGACTGTTAAACATATTCTACTCATACATTTGTATCACTCAATGTATATTAAGGCTTGTGGCCATAAAATTTGTCATTCTCATTCTTCCGGTATTTTTTTTCAGTTTTGTTTTGCACTCCTATATCAATCAAATACAAATACATTATATTAATATCTATAAAATGTTCGTGCATGTCTTAAAATTTAGACCCGACGTGATACTTTTCAATGCAGTTGTATTTTGAGAGAGTCCACATTTAAATCTTGTATCGGTATTGTTATTTAACATCAACACAGTATTCAAATCTCTTCCTAACACGTCTACTAAAATTGATCAACAAATTATGCGAGACATTAAACGACATTTTAACACGCTGCCAGGTTTAAACAAAGTTTTGTTTTTTGTCTAGTTGGTTAAGTTCTTTTTTTTTCACAAAGCTAATTGAAGGACTGTGAGATTTTTTTTGTCACGAGATGCATGTGAAATTTTAGAAGCCAATTCGCACAGTGTTTGAATAATATTAATTTTGCTTTATATCATTATTGAAAACAATACGTCGACTCGTCAGCTCAATAAAAGTATGATCATTTTATGTTAAATTATATTTAAATATAATAAATGTTCTTGCAAAAAGGGAAAAAATTCAATTAGAAATTAAAATATTTCCAAAAAATCAATATTCGATTTCTCCATTTTCACGCAGAAAGGTCAATCCAACTTTTTAATGTTTAAAAAAAAATTAGAATTGTGTGTCAATATATCGTACGTTGTCTCTGGTTGTCGTAAAACTTATTGTGAAGTTAAGGCAAAATCATTGTCACTTCAACCGATAATCTGATAATAGACATTTTGAAAACGGTTCTGAAAAATGTTCTAGGTAATGCAAGGTAAGCAAATATCCGGTTTGTGCAATTAAATTACATTTAATGTATTCCCGATTAATGGTGTTTTTCTTGTAGAAAACATAAGTATTGTTACCACAGCAATGACTTCATAAACTGTAGCCATCTTGTCCAAATGGAAAAAAAAAAAACGTATATTTTTTTTCAAAATCGAGATTTCGACCGGCTTAATAAGCATGGTTACATTATCGAAAATAACGATTGATAGTAAATAATCACACGTTTTTCTCTTTCGAACATGATGCAACCGCTGACCAAAAGAAACTATTTAATCATTCATGCAACTGAAAACTAAAAAAAAAATATGTAAATGAATTATTTTTAAAAGAGTATGAATGAGCATGTCGGTCACTTTAAACCTCATTTGTAAAAAAAAACCTCGCATCCAACAACAACAAAAAAAAAACCAAATCCTGTAAACTTATGCATAACATAATCAAAGATCGTTTGAAAACTTTAATCGTTCCTTGGAATAAAATGAAAATCCTCTTACTTTTGGATCGTCGTGTAACGTGCAATACATAGCGCAAAATCAGTAAGACATTTACATGGACAAATAAAGATGTGGTATGATTGCCAATGAGGCAACCCTCTGCCAGAGACCACATGACGTAGAATTTAACAACTATAGATCACCGTATGGTCTTCAACAATAAGCAAAACCCATACCGCATAATCAGCTACAAAATGCCCCAAATTGAAAAATGTAAAACAATTCAAACGAGAAAACTAATGGCCTGATTCATGTACAAAACAATTAACGAAAAACAAATATGATATACAGCAACACACGACAAAAAAACCACTGAATTACAGGCTGCTGAATTTAGACAGGCACATACAGAAAAAAAAAGGGGGGGGGGGGGTTACATTTTTGCTGGCGCCACATGCTCAGATACAGTTTTTATGTTCAGTCG